ATTTCCCTTTTTATTCTTATTTATTACTAACAAGGAAGGCGTGTTATCTATATGAAACATAAAATAGGATGCAAAGACATGAGCGAATGCCAAGGTCCGTTTCGGCGGGTGGCGACAAGTCAATAAATGGTTCTTTTAGTATTTGGTTGACTTGATTTGTTTTTCTTTTAGTCAACTAGATATAATTCATGGAATGGACTAATTATCTTTCAATCATGTCCTACTAAACTATTTTGATAAAAAAAATTCCTTTGGTAAGAGTAGGAGTTCAAATTTCATGTCTTCTGATAAAGTCAAAACTAGTTTAAAAGAAAATGAAATAGTATACATCATACTTGTCTCAACCTAAGAGAAAGAGTAAGTTGAATGAGATTCCCTTAGTGAGAGAATTCCTTGATGTATACCTTAAGGATGTGCCCAATTAACAACTTGAGAGAGAAAATGAGTTTTCCATAGACTTTATACCTAGTATAGTTTAGATCCCTTTAGCAATTTATAGGATGTTTCCCAAAGAGTTAGTTGAACTTAAGAAAATGAGGTTGAGGTTGTGTGTAGAATATGAGTGTTAATGTATCAAATCACCATATTTTGTACCCCCAACTATGATGGGTGTTGACCAGTCGAAATAGAAAATGAAATTTTTATATCACGTGTTCAACCATCATAGAATGTTTGAATGTTCTATGTCGTCACTAGGATTAATGTTGTATCTTGATCCGACTTAGAATGTCTAAAACACCCATTATGGAATGTCCCTTGCACACTAGTGCCCAATCCATAGATCCTAAAACCTTTAACCTTAAATCATAAACCTTAAGTTTATAATCTATTTAAAAACATTGTATAATAGATATTTTTAAACATATAAATTATATTTTAGATTTATGATAAATAATTTACATTGTAACAATTTTTTTATTTATTTTAATATTAATATTTAATTAATAAATAATCATGAAAAATAAAAATCAAATGTGATAGAAAGTTAAAATGATGGAGGACCATCCACAGAGAGTTCACACTTGAAGACCATTGGACCTTTAACTAAGTCCATGGTTAGAAAGCTTGAGGAGGCTTTTATAGAGGAGGTGTTTCTTAGACCTATTATATGAGCATTAAGTATGATTCCTCTTTTTAGTTTCGTAGTTTCTATTATACATATCTTGTATAGTTTGAGTTATTTTACCTTGTATATAGTAGATACCTGTATAGACTTATTTGTCTTTGTATTTGTAAGACACCTTTATCTTTCTTTATAGGTCATACTCTTAGGATTTTAGGGCATGTTGTTTGGAGACTTTAACTTCATTTGACCTTGTATTAAGGGTCATAGATTTTCACACTAGTACAAAAGACCCCTTTTACGTCGGGTATTTGAAGCCTTTTACGTCGGAAAAGCATCAGACGTTAATACGGGAGACGTAAAATTTACGTCGGGGGTCAAAAATTGACGTAAATTTACGTCGGACATGCCAAGGTCCGACGTAAAAAAGTCATAAAAATTTAAAAAAAAAATGAGTGAAGCAGAACGGCCCGTTCTGCTTGGAGAACGGCCCGTTCTACTTGGAGAACGGGTCGTTCTGCTAGCAGAACAGGCCGTTCTCCAAGCAGAACGGCCCGTTCTGCTTGATAGACCCAGACAGTGGTGACTTCCTTCTGCAGCTTCACAAACACGAAATGCAACACAAACATTAACACAAATAGATGCTACCTCATAGAAAAACATCCCAGAAAACACAAACTTGATAGAAGATGCTACCTCATAGAAAAACAGGATGTATGGTTAAGCCATTTCCATCAACACGCGAAGAAGAAACCAACGCAACTCCGAAGAAGAAAAATAGAAGAACGTGAAGATGAGGAAGACAGCCACGATTTGAGGAGGAGGCGGAGGGATGAAGAAGAAAAATCCGCAACACGCGGGATAACGTGAAGGTGAGGAAGAATGCCACGATTTGAAATCTATAGTGCGCGCCCTTCATTTAAGGAGTGAGTTACGTCGGACAAAGATGGGTCCGACGTAAATGAGATAATTTACGTCGGCTGCTTTAGCTTTCCGACGTAAATTATATCATTTACGTCGGACCCATCGATGTCCGACACTACTAAAATAATTAATCTTTGTGACAAATTTTGTGACAGAAAAAATAGTGTCGCTAACAGTGACGCATTTTGTGAGGGAATTTTAAGTTTTGTGACGGACTAGCATTTATTGACTTTTGTGACGGATTTTGTGACGGAATATATTTCGTCTCTAAAAATCCGTCACAAATTCCGTCACTAAATAAAAAATAAAAAAAATTGTGACGGATTTTGTGACCAAAAAATTTTCGTCTCTAAAAATCCGTCACAAATTTCATCACTAAATAAAAAAAAAATGTTTGTGACGGATTGTACTTCGTCTCTAAAAAATCCGTCACAAATTTCTTCACTAAATAAAAAAAATTTAGTGACGGATTGTTCCCTCTCAAAATTCCGTCACAAATAGCTTAAAATATTTTGTGAAAAAATTTGTGACGAATTGTTCCCTCTCAAAATATTAAATTTTATTTATGAAACTTTTATATTTAAGAATTATGCATAATTAAAGAAAATATGTTAATTTTTAAAAAAATAATAATAAAATTAAAAATATTTTATTTCATTAAAGGACTGAAAAAATTATGAAATTCATTTAATTAAATAAAAAATTGTCAATTTTGAACATAAGAAATTAAGACATTCATTAAAAATATTTAAAAAATAACTTGTGAAATTAAAAAAAAATAAGTATTAATTTAATTTTGGCTTAATTACATTTTTGATCCCTCAAGTATTGTAATTGTGCAATTTTGATCCCTAAGATTTTAATTGGATAATTTTAGTCCCTAAAGAATTGTAATTGTGCAATTTTAGTCCTTTAATTTTTAATTGAACAATTTTAGTCCCTCAAAAATCATAATTGTGCAATTTGAATCTCTCCCATTAAAAATTTAATAATTTTAAAATATATATATATATATATATATATATATAATAATTTAAAATTATACAATAATTTGCTTATTTAAGTTAACATATACTATAATTTTTATTAATGTAACAAATGATATATATTTATTATTACTAAATAAATAAAATTTATATATTATTAATAATTTAATATTGCTAATAAATTAATATCAATAATATTTTTCGTATATTTATAGATAAATCGATAATTTGATAAATATAACTTAGTATGTATTAATATACTTTTACAAAAATATAAATATAGTAGATAAGATATGTATATTTATAATTAATATATTTATATTTTTGTAAAAGTATATTAATATATAATAAGTTATATTTATCAAATTATTAGTTTATCTGTAAATATACTAATAATATTATTGATATTATAGTCAATTCTGGTAATCACAGTTTGTGACGGATACAAGTCATCACAGTTTGTGACGGACTTTAGTTGTCTCAAATTGTGACGGATTCTAGTCATCACAGTTTGTGACGGATTCTATTCATCACAATTTGTGAAGGATTCTATTCGTCATCACAATTTGTGACGGATACACATACCTCTCAATCCCTTTCAAATTTGTGACGGAGATAGTCCCTCACAAATTGCGATGGATTTAATCCCTCACAAATTGCGACGAAGTTAGAGGCGTCACAAATTGCGACGGATTTTATTAATTTATAAACATTTATTGTTACAAATTAGTGACGGAAAATATATTGTTTGTGATGCCTTAAATCCGTCACTAATTGTGATGGACGAAATTATCCGTCACTAAATATTTTGTGACGCCAATTTTTGTGACGGAATCAGTTCCGTCACAAATTCCGTCACTAATTTTTTTGTGACGGATTTTATAAAGATTAGTGACGGATTTCTTCCCTCTCTAATTTTAATTTTTCTAGTAGTGCGACGTAAATTTCCTCCTCTTATTTACGAAACTACTACCGCATTTTTACAACGTCGGGTGTGCTAGTTTCTGACGTAAATGAAGAGACGTAGTAGCTCCTTTTTCCACTACTGTCATAATTTTAGTTTTAGTAGTGGGGTAACAAATAGTAAATGTGTAGGTGAAGCTAGCAATTGGGTCTTCAGTGGGCCTAGGCCAGATGTTACATATTATGCTTGCTTTTCTCCATTTAATCCAAGGAATTGATTTAGCTATGTATAACCATCATTTGGTGAACCTAACTAATCAATTCCAAGTTTTTGGATTGAATTAAATAAGGAAAATCAAGTTTGGCCGCCTATCCTTCTCATTTGGTTGAGTTTGCTTAGATTCTCTAACATACCTTACCACTTGGCTTGCCAAGAGAACAAGGTGACATTTGACACTCTATGATTGGTTTTTCTAGATCTAAGCGTCTCCTCCTTATCTCATAGGAGACAAGGTGACACTTGACAATCTATGATTGACTCTTCTAGATCTAAGTGTTCCTACCTTATCTCTACCTTGTCTAGCTTGCACTACAAGCTTCTCCACCACTATATATAGGTTCCTTCACATGTAAAACTCACTTTTGATGCTTATTTAGATTTTGGGCAAGACTTTTCTTTGAATTCTCTCTCAAAAGTATGAATTCTCTCTTTGATTTGCTTCCAATTCTCTTATCCTCTTCCTAAGACTATGGTAGAGTTGAAGTGGTTTATCATCTACCTTGAAGTGGCACCACTTGAAGAGAGTTCCTCACCTTTGAAGATGGGTCCAGAGGTTTCCTCCTCCATAGGAGACCTTGAAGAGTGTCAAGAAGTCAAAGATCTAGGAAGAAGCTTAAAAAAAAAACTTTATCAATCAAGCATCTCCTTGAGGCTTCCATCATAAAAGAATCCCTACAAACCCTCTCGATGAAGAAAAAGTCTAAAAAACACTCGCTTAAGATGGTGAGCTCATGTTTAATGTATAGAAATATAATTTTTTTATTATATATTATCTTACTTAATTTATATTTCATAACTTCTATTATTTTTATTTTTATTTTATATTATTTTTACATAAAACATATAAAGACAACAAGTAACTCAACGACATTAATATTTTATAAGGAACACAATAACGAATACCATATATATATATAACAATTAACACACTTTAAGACATCACCGACATGCATATCCAAATTTATTCCAAGCAAGCGAAGGATATCTACGTAAGCATCCTTCTCGTCAAACATCTCACTGATTAATTATATCCCAAGGCCAAGCCCATTATTTGTTTTTATTTTCAACATAACTTATGGAGCTATGCGTTGAGAAGATGACCATCAACTTCGATGCTTCCTTTGTTCAGGTATTCGATGAAGCCATAAGGAGGATCAACTTCCTCACTAACCCTCTCATATTCAATGCTCCATTTGATAATAGCACCACCATGATCCTTACCAATAGCTTTAAAGATGACGTTAAAAGCCTTAAACTGATGATCGATATCTTCACCGAAGAGCTTGTAGGTGATTGTTTTGTTCGGTTCATCAATGGATTCAATACTCTCGTAATATGTTGTAACCTTGCCATCTATTGTTTTAGAAGCAATCAAGACAAACACGTAACAAAAACATCGTATAAGAATGATGCAAAAACAAAATCGTTGAGATATTAATTTCTACTTCAAAATCATTGAGATATCAATCTTAATTACCGTAGTGAACCTTGATATGTTGTGGCTTTTGTTCATATCAAGAAATAATATTCTTTAACCAAAAGAAATTGTAGCTAGAAACTTTAAAATATGAAAAGGTATATTCGAATAAACTTCTTCAAAGGTATTACTAATTAGGAGAAAAAAAATAAAAAGGAAAAAAAAATTACATAACTTTCTCCATGTATAAGTTAAAATTAATTTATACATGAAGTAAAATTAGTGTATGTATAAAATGATTATTCATAGAATATATATTCTGTTAACTTTTCCAAAACTTATTTTTTAAGTCAACACAAATCCCAAAAAGTTGAAGTTAAAGAGTAACTAATACATTTTATGAGTATTAATTTACTCAATCATAGAAAAAATATTCTACGATAAATAAGCCAACATTTATTATAAAATATTTGAATATAATATAAGTATGTCGTTATATTATTTTTTTATGTTAAACATCTGACATAAAATGACATAAAATGTTATAAAATCTTGTATTTGTATAGATGTTTATAAAAAAATTTATCAACACATACCTAAAGAAAATTATAAGGACTAAATTTATTGTTAACATTAGGAAAAGAAATAATCTAGTGAGTTTCATTTGCGTATTAATATAATTTGAAATTTAATTACCTATCGTACAAGTCCAATGCTTGACTGACTCATTGTGGTGCCAGTCATCACCATGATGCAGCTTGGTTCCATGAACTCTGTCAGTAAGGTTTTGAACATTATGGAGTTGAGTTGCGAAGAGGTTGAACCACTTTTCAGCGGTTGCATGAACCCCAATTTCAATGCTAATTTTACCAGCAAGTGACATGATCAAAAAAGAAGCTAGAAATTGATCAACAAATAAATAAGGATGAGTGATGGCGAAAAAATATTGCGAGCGTGACCGACTTATATAGACGATAATAACTTACTATTAAAGAAACAAAAGGTACCTTATCGCTTGTCCTTTGAAAAATTCCAAAACTATTAGTATATACACCTCGTGGTGTATATTTATTTTTAGTTGAAGAAAACATATACGGCGTGTTTCATGCTTGAAACACTTTCACCCATGAAAAATCTTTCAAATTCTTCGTTTTAGATAAATTATTGTTCGATTACAAATAAAATATTACATTATTGAATGATGAAGAGATATAAATATTTATATAACACACATAGTTTCTATTGATATAAGATCTTCCAAAAGATGACCAAAAGTAAAATTTTAAAAGTTTAAGTTTAAAGTAGACAATATCATACTAATATAGAAATATGTGTGGGTAAATCTTGAGTGTCAAAACAATAGTATCATAGCTCATAATTTTAACTAGGTGTGACCAACTCAAAGTCTCAGACGAGTATTTAACAATGGGGACGGTGAATTCAAGTGTGACATCCTTTGTGTCAAAAGTTTTACTGATAATGTGGATGTAAGCTAACGATAGTACAAGTATCTATTGTTAATAGGTGTGACTAAAGTTTTAAGGGAGACCATTAAATAATCCTACATGAAAAAAGAATTTTTGCTGAAAAGGAGGTTAATTAAATTATGATCTTTTGTTTAAGAGGAAGTTTATTGATGTACAAACAAAATCCTAAATCAAATAAATCATGAGATGAACTAAAAGTTTATATAGTGTATATCGTCTCTATATAAAACTTTTTGAGAAATAATCAAAAATAAAATCATAAATTTAAACTTAAAATTGACAAATATAATATAAATATAAATATATGTGTGAATGAATCTCAAGTATCCCAATAATTATGTTTAACATCACCACAAAGTACCTACTGTTGGTAAGGCCGACCAAGTCACATTATTGAAAAAAGTAATGGTCGTCAATAACATTTCAACTATATATTTAGTCACTAATTTTTTTAATTACATTTTTATTCTTTCAAATGTCACAATTTTTTAATTTGCCTCCCATATATTAATTTCTATTATATAATTTAATTAATAGAATTTATTAAACGTGACAATCGATGACTTATAATTTATGTTAATAATAACTACTCTTCATGTTTGTTTGTGTAAAGAAGCTTATATGATTGAGCAGGATCCATCTGGGACCCCCATTCATAGTTTACAAACTCTTCTGAGATGAAGAGTGTAGAAGAGTCACATGGACGAGGGATGTGACATTGAGACACCTCACTGTCGACCAAAGGCTCTTGGTTGACATTGATGCCACGACTATAATACTTTCAAGGCAATTTTCTGATAGGTTTAAAAATCTTTAATATCAAAATTTTGGACTACAAAATTAATTGTAAAATTGATTTTAATCTGGTCGGCGTTGTAAGGAGCACTACTAAAATCAGCTTTTTTGACTATTTTAAAAGTGTCCAATAAAAATGGTTAGCCCTTATGCATTAATGCAAAGTGGGTGATTTTTTTTTCTTAATTATTTACTACGAAGAGAGTATTTTTTTAAAATTCAGAAGTGTGTACAAAGGTTAAAAAGTCTAATAAAAATTGAAAAAAAAAATAGTTATTGAAATATGCATCTTATTTTAATGTGAGAGTGGTTTTTGAAACGTAGTTAGTAAATTGGAATTGGGCATTTTCAAATTAGAATGGGTCGTTTCAAACTACTAAAATAAGGGTGATTTAATAGCTTAGAACGGGTCATTCCCAAATTGAAACGGGTTGTTCCAAACTACTAAATAGGTCTATAAACCCTAGTTGGAAACGGCTCGTTCTGGTTTGAGAACGGACCGAGAGAAGAACTCTAGGTCTGTGAGCTCCTTTCTTTCCCAAATTTCTCTGTATGATTCTTCTTCTCCTCTAGATCACTAATGTCTTCTGTCTTTTCTTGAAATTCAGACTAGGAAGCTTGCTTTGGGTGGATTGAAGTTTCCGGGTTGAGCTTCGAAAGCGAATTCTACTTCTTCTCAGTTCTTGGCCATTTTGAGCCAATTTTCAGGTGAGGGAAGCTAGAATGTTTGTTGTTTAGGTTGCATGTGAGTTTAGAAACTCAATTGGTGCATGAATGTTGAGAATCCACAATTGGATTGGAGAAATTGTTCATTTTGGGGTTTTTGGGAAAATTGGAGTTTTTATGATTTTGATGCATTGGATGAGTGCATGTTGATTTTGAACTTGTTTTTGAGTTGTATGGAGTCTGTGCATTGTATTTTTGTGTTTCCATGTGGTTGGATTTGCTGGTTTGGATGAGTTTTTGAACTCTCTGACTAGGATTAGGCCGGGCGCAGGATGAGCGCACCGGGCGTGTGGAAGAGCTTAAGGCTCTCGAGTTGGATTTTAGGCCGGACGTGTTTTGGTTGCGCTGGGCGTGAGTGAGTATGATGTTTTTGGATTGAAATTGATGTTCATGCCTGTTTAAAGTTAAAGTTTTAGATCATGTATGTATGATATATGATGTATGGTGAGGTGTGATCCATATGTATGCTTGGTAATGATATATATGAATGTTTAAATATGATATGACATGTGTATATGTTCATATGAAAATGATAATGATCATGATGGTGGGTAGACCATGTATGATGTGTGATGCATTATTGCATGTGATGCCTTATGGCATGAGTATGATTATTGATCATGATGGTGGGTAGACCATGTATGATGTGTGATGCATTATTGCATATGATGCCTTATGGCGTGAGTCTAGCCTAGGACTTGAGGAGAGGGAAAATGTTTTCAAACTGGAAGAGCTCACATAGAGTCTCTTGAGAGTGGTGCTTGGATAGGTCGTTGATATATGAGAGTGGTGCTCAGGTAGGCCACTGGGTTGGGTAAGTCTCCTCTATGTCCTTAGCTAGTGTTTGAGCAGAGTATGAGGTCGAAGGTTATTCCCTTAACCAAGTATTGGGGAAGATGTGTGGATCCTTGCGGATAGTCGGTGGGCGAACTCGACAAGTGACTTGGTAATACATGCCAAGGTCGTGGTAAGCCTGTACCCAACTATGTTATACCTGACGGTGGATCAGGACTTCTAATTGTGTAAATGACATCATCCGAGTAAACCCGAGTGAGGATTTTTATCCCGTTTATCTGTGACCGAGCGGGCGCATTGGGCGTTAAAATGGTTGGGGTGGTTTCGGTAGGATTGGGATGTCACTTACACTGCTCTGATGTTAGGGAGATCTCCTAGGTGTATGCATGACGATGTATTAGATGATAGATATGCAGTTGATATCTCATGTGTTGCTTAATTGCATTAATGTTGTTATGATGAAGTGTTGGTGGTTGACTTCATGATTGGTGTGTTGCATGTTATGCATGAGTAGATTTAGATAGTGTATGGTGTGGCTCTATGAACATGATTGGTGTGTTGCATTTTATGCATTAGTAGATTTGGATAGAATGTATGGTGTGGCTCTATGAACATGATTGGATGAATGTGTAGTATAGATTATTATTCTATACTTGTATGATTGTTTATTGAACTCTAGCTTACCCTTCTGTTTTTCATGTGGATGGTTTGCAATGATCGTACTTTGTATGACAGCAGATTAAGGCTAGCTTGGAGTTGAGGTCCGCTGCCAAATGAGGAGTTTTGTCCTAATGTTAGAGTTACTTGTTGGGTAACTATTGTTGTGCTTGACCGACACTAGGGAATATTATTTTGGATGACTGTACATATATATGGTGTTATAATTTGTTTTTAGAAAACTTAGTTATTATTATATTTTATATACCCTATATGTATGAGTTATCACATTTAATATTCCTTTTAGTCTAGTTGTAGTAGTGCGATTCCACTAAGTGTAGGGACCATGGCAGGTCGTTACACTTTTATGGTATCAGAGCCGGTCGAGTCTTTTGGATACTTTGTGGGGAGTGATCCTTCTAGGTTTCTGTTGTGTCATATCTCTTATATGTGTTAGTTTTGGTGATTTGTGGTGGTGAAGTGTTACTAAAAGAATGTTTTGGATTCTTTCAGTATGGTGAGGCCTCAGTATGATCAGATTGCTAGGGCCATGGAGATGATGGCCATAGCGATGCAGCAGCAGAGTGCTCACTTTGCTCAGATGGAGGCAGGTAGAGTTGCGGTTGAGGCAGCTAGACCAGTGGTCTCTCAGGATGGGAGAGACTTAGCAGAGTTCAAGAGATGTCAACCTCCTCAGTTTAAGGGGGATTCAGATCCTGATGTGGCAGATCAATGGTTGAGTGAGATGGAGAAGATCTTCAGTGTCTTGGGGTCTTCTAAAGAGAGGAAGTTGGCCTATGCAGTATACATGCTGGCGGGCGAGGCTAAGTACTAGTGGAGAGGCATCAAGCAGATGTTAGAGAGCAGGGGTGTACCTTTTGATTGGGATTGCTTCAAGAGGGTCTTTTTGGAGAAGTATTTCCCAGATAGCGTTAGAGACGCTAAGGAGGCGAAGTTCATGAGACTACAACAGAGAAGCATGTCTGTCAGAGTATGCTATGAGATTTGAGCATCTGGCTTGTTTCTACTCTCAGGCCATATCTAAGGCTTGGAGATGTAGGAAGTTTGTAGAGGGGTTAAGGCATGAGCTGAGGAAGGTCATAGTTCCTATGTCCATTGTGGAGTTTCCTGCATTGGTTGAGAAGGCAAAGACTATAGATAGACTGGATGGTGGTGGTAGCAGCGACAAGGCTGCTAGAGTTCAGGAGGGATCATTTGGATCTAGGAGGGGAGGCCAGCAGAGAGGACCCTATGACATGCCTGTTCACTCTTAGAGGGGTGCTGTCAGTAGGGGAACTCATCCTACTACTCCCTGCGATGCTACAATTTTCGCTTTATCAGGTACAGAGACTTCCACTTCATCAGATATGGTGAAGGGGAAGGGGAAGGCAACAAGTGAGGATGTTTTGTTCCTGTTTGATTCTAGTGCCACGCATTTTTTTATCTCTATTAATTGTGTGAGGAGATTGGGTTTATCGGTATCTACATTGCATGTT